ATGCATACATGCACAGTTTCGGTTGAAAACCGAAATTATGCATATGAGAAAATACCGAAATTATGCATACCCATACTTTCGTTTTAAAAGCGAAATAAAGCATATGAAAAAAACGAAGTAATGCATACATGCACAGTTTCGGTTTAAAACCGACATAATGCATATGGGAAAAACCGAAATAAAGCATACATGCACAGTTTCGGTTGAAACCGAAATAATGTCTAAATGCACAGTTTCCATATGCGCAATTTCGGTATTTGAAATAATACAGTTCTTACTCTCCACTGTAAAATTTTCGGCAACCTCACATACGCGCTTTTGCATTATCTTGATACGCGACTTTGTACTTTAAACAGCGTATATATTATTAGCGATGAAGGAGATAAAGATGTAAACAAAAGCTACATTTATTTATATGATTATGATTTATACATCTAAGTGAGTATATATGTATGTATGTATGTATGTATATATATCAACATTCAAGAGCATAGAAAACATTCATATACATTATATACTTTGCTTTTTTCTGAATACTAGAATATTTAAAGCATCATGGCTAAGTTCCAAGTTGCATCAATACAATGCATCAGCCTCTTTTTTCTAAACTATAATTGATGGAAATGCCCAATTTGCCGAACTAAATTCCAATTCGGCATTTGAACGTGGTTGCTCATATTGAATATTTTTATCAGTTATAGTTTAAAAATAAAGAAAGAGTCTGCTTTGCATTTATGTAACAATTTCTGCTTTGATTATTTGCATGGAGCTGAAGAAGTAATCAATTGGTACGCATGAAGCTGGAGCACTGAAATATTTCTCCCCCAGTTTATACCTATTCCGAATCATGGAGCTGGAGCAGTGAAATATTTATTTCATATAGTGGTGGCAATTATTTTAGTGCTCAAGGTCCAGAATCGGCATGTTTGCACTACTAGCATGCAATATCTACTGAGAAAATCATCGGATCTGGGCACTATAAGGCATATCTCACATATCGTTACTTGTTTTTATTTGCTAAATAGTTTCGCTAACAGGTTAAAATAACCACATCTCCTTAGCTTATACAATCGGAATGTAAGAATATACGTTTAATAAAAAATGCACACAAGAAATTTGTACTTACGTCCCAAGCAATCCATGCAGGTTATACTTTTCTTCTATAGATGTCTGTTTATTAAGCTCTTTGTTGTCCTTTTTCATCTTTTTGCTAGAATCCTTTTTGCCGAACAGTGGCATTTTTTCGGTGCTGCTCCAGCGAAACTGCCCAATATTTTATTTATCCACTAAAATATTATATATTCTCGACGTGTTTTAACGATGGCATTTAGTAGGTGTTTACATATAAGCATATGTACATTATTTTAGACTACTCTTCATAGACAAAAATGTCTATAGGTTCAGTATTGGAGTTGATATTAGTTTTTGTCACTTGCATCTAGAGAGATATCAATCGCTGACAATTGCTTCTCAAATATGTTTTCTTTACTAAATTCTTTGTTGAATGTACGCTGCTTTCGTTATCGGCATAAATTTGACGTATTATTTACTGAAAATATACAAAGATTTTGTGTTAATTAAGATTTTAAAATATTCTGTGCATTTGTAATTAAGCGTTTCAGACGTGCAAACATGTACATACGAACATATGTGCAACTCATTTTTTAAGAAATCGCTGTAACTCAAGAATATATAGCTTTCCTACAACGCAATCAATAATCGAAAGTATTTATAGACTGTAAATAAGAATGGTTTTCAAATTTTGAAACCATCCCAACCATTGGAGAATATGATATATGACTTTAAAAAAACTTGACTTTTAATATTCTGTACATTAAATCCTAGGCAGTGATAATAAATGCATCGTGATTTTTCGGATTCGTTTCGAAATTTTTTAGAATAGTTCAGGATAGTTTCGGGACTATTTAGAATGCTTCGTGATTTACTCATTGGAATTTTTCTGGGCATTTTCTTGAGATTTTCAACATTTTTCTAGACTTCACCGATGTATGTTTTCGGGATACTTAGTGCTTTATTTTTCGAGACTTTCAGGATTTTACAGGAACTTGCGGCCCAAAAGTAAATTCGAATCTTTGTTTTGCCTTAATGAATGTCTAACAATTACAAAAACTACCGGTTATGTTTCCTCAAAATATTATATAATGAAAAGTTTAAGTTTTCTTTTTACATAATAATAATGAAAGCAAAAGGGCAAGGATTTAACTAGATAATTTTTTAGCCCCTCAAAATCGACAAATTTCTTTTAGAGTTATGCCGATTTTTTGATAACCGCGCGTTGTATGTTGTTTTTTTTAAATATAATGAAATTGATAAGAGCACAAGCTAAGCTAAACCTTATCTCAAAGCGTGAACTTATAAGGGAAATACATGCAAAAATTTACATTTGACCAGCTGCAGGGGATATTTGAAGGGCACGCATTGTAGATTGTTTACGCAGCTGGTTGTAGGGAAGTACAGCACCCGTTTTACTGGACTTTTGGACATAAATAGGCGCACAGACACATGTACATTAGGGTGATTCAGAAAAAATTTATTTTTCCGCGGAACCATGCTCAAAAGTTTCGTTAAAGAATAACACAGGAAAATTTGTTTTTTTTTTATTCTGATTTTTACATTTAATGAACGATACATTGTACTGTAAAGGCCTTGAAGTATTTTTCTAGAGAATTGAATGCTTTACAAAAAATGTCTGAAGTCATTTTTCGAAAAGTCGTTCTTTCAACTTTGATCTCGAATAACTTTTGACCGAGTTGACTTATCGAAAAATTACTTCAGACCTTTATTGGTAGAGCGTTCAATTCTCTCCAAGACCTTTACAGTGTAATGTATGGTTCGTTAAATAAAAAAATCAGAAGTAAAAAAAAAAATTCCTGTCTTATTCTAATGGGAAATCGAAGTGCTTTTTTAATTCTGATTTTTATATTTAACGAACGACACGTTGTACTGTAAAGGTCTTCTCTACAAAAATACTCCCATACCATTACAGTACAACGTATCGTTCGTTAAATATAAAAATCGGAAGTAAAAAAAAACAATTTTTCCTTTGTTATTCTAATGGGAAATCGAAAAGTGTTTTTTTACTTCTGATTTTTATATTTAACGAACGACATGTTGTACTGTAAAAGTCTTCTCTACAAAAATACTCCAATACCATTACATTAAATATAACAATCGTAAGTAAAAACGAACAATTTTTCCTGTGTTATTCTTATGGGAAATCGGAAAGTGCGATTCGGACATTCTTAATATTAATATTAAGGGCTCATATTTTCTGAGACTTATTTTGGCGTCTAAACGAAACTTTTGAGCATGGTTCCGAGGAAAAATAATTAAAAACAAAATTTCTGAATCACCCTAACGTACATACATACATGTATATGATAAATATGTACATTAGATGTCTTATTTTCTCCATACATTTTGCTAAAGTATTTCATATCCACCCTGCTGCAGCAGACTATGAAAATAGGACGCTAAAAGCCTAACAAAATGAAAACAAAGATTTCAATATTGCACAAACTAAAAAATCCGCGATATAAGACTATAGTAAGGTTTTGATCGTTATAGGGAAAAACATTCACCTTGCACAGGACAAAAATAAAAGATATCCAACCTTATTTAGTATAAGCCGCTAAAGCGAATGGCGTAGGCAGTTTTAATACAACTATCGTATTACCCACGAGGCCTAAAGTGACTAGTTGGTACTTCTTCCACGAATTCATTAGGATTCTCAAGCAGTGTTGCCAGTTTCTTAGGGATTTTTTCAAATATCGAAATTTTTTTTTTTTTGTTCTAAGACAAATCAACAGGGCATGAATCACGTATGACGACAATCGTCTGAACGATATTGTGTTGCTTCATGAAAACCAAAAATTGTTTGATCGTTTGTGCGATATCGTCAACTCGATCACGTATCAGCAACACAAATGCATAAATCAGTGTTTTTATGAGGTCGTTTTGTCACTATCATTTGAACAACTATCGTTCCAAAGTAACGTGATTCATGCCCAGGTTACAGCTTCTTATAATAATTTATTAAAGATTCTCCTTTTTATTAATGTACGTAGAATTTTCTAAAACTTTTGGTCCTGTGGGTGTTCACACTTAACTGGTTACCAGGTTATCTGGTTAAAAATTACACTGTGCTACACAAAAAATAGGCAGGGGTCCTCATATAGAAATTATGTTTTGTTAGTATATCTATGTTTTCCTTTTTTCCTAGAAATGTTTTCGCTTTGTTTGTTATTTATTCATTTTAGTATCGTTTTCGACCATGTACGTACATACATACATATATACATACATATAAACTACCTATGGTTTTTTGATATCTTATGGATCTGCTTCTATTTGTTATTTTTTTTACTTGATCTTATAAAAGTCTTGCTAGCGCCATCGGAGTGCGCCCTTCAGCGCCGGATTAAGGGCAAGGCCGACGGGGCCGCGACCCAGCGCCGCCACGTTTTCATGTGATGACGAAAGAACAAAAAAATAATGTTTCAGATATTACAGAAAAGATCGCTAGGTATTAAGAAGATTTGTGAGCACCATATATATCATGCGGAACCTAGCTTAGCTTCTCCTGGCTCTGTTGGGATTCTCGACTTACCCAATAATGGAAATTTGGATGCTGGAACTAATAGCTCAGAATGACCCCCGGACATATTAAAGAGTACAAAGTAAGGGACGATGATACGTGAATTATTTATCTTCCAACAACTGCGAGGAAATAATAGCTTTGAGGGGTGAGAAAGTACAGGGGTCATTCTAGGAGGAAAACAACATAAATTTAAATATCCCTAATTATCTCTATTTCCGTAGTAACATCTTTTTAAATAACTACATTTCATTAACCTGTGGGAAAATATTTATAAAATCAAAAGAAGTTCTAATTTTTGTTTATGGAAACTTTTATTTCATGCATAATTACTTTACACCAGTCACAAGGAGATGACCCACCAGTCACAACATTAAATATTTTTTAATATTTCTATGAAGATTATATAAACGTAATTTTTATTGAAAACGACAGCGTAAAAAAAAAATTTTTTTTCATGTATAACTACTTTACACCAGTCACAAGGAGATGTCCTGAGAAGTAAGGGACGATGATACGTGAATTATTTATCTTCAACAACTGCGAGGAAATAATAGCTTTGAGGGGTGAGAAAGTACAGGGGTCATTCTAGGAGGAAAACAACATACATTTAAATATCCCTAATTATTTCTATTTCCGTAGTAACATCTTTTTAAATAACTACATTTCATTAACCTGAGGGGAAAATATTTATAAAATCAAAAGAAGTTCTCATTTTTGTTTATGGAAACTTTTATTTCATGCATAATTACTTTACACCAGTCACAAGGAGATGACCCACCAGTCACAACTTTAAGTATTTTTTCATATTTCTATGAAGATTATATACACCTAATTTTTATTGAAAACGAAAGCGTATAATTCATATTTTACAACACAAATACAGCGTTCCTGAAAATTAAGTGTTTTGGCTAAAATTCATATTTGAGTGCACAAGGGTAAAATAGTTCTTTTCGGTGTCCCATCAGTCACATTAATTCAAATAATAGTTACATAAAACTAAGAAATCGTTTGGTATTTTTGTTTAAGCAATTTTATGCATTAGTTATCGTTCTATGTTAAAAAAATATATTTCGCTGTTGTATAAGTTCCGACGACATAGTTAAAATTCACAATTGATTCTGGAGTAAAATGTCCCACTAGTCACAATGGAATGGCCCAAAGGCAGAAATAATAAGCCGGATCAAAAAGACAAAATATTCGCACTATTCCATCTCTGTTCATATACGAGATTGCCGTGGTCAGTCGTTTAATACTGCATGCAACATGAGCGGCAAGTACAAAGGGATTCAGGCGAGAATTTCAAAGAAAACACGTGGTTAGAAGTCAATAATAAACGATACTGTTAATATTAAAAAATATATATTTTTTTTTAATTGATTGTATGTAATTATTAACTCAAATAGAAGCCCCCACGTGTATAACGGCCCCGGGCCCCCACATTCTTAATCCGGCCCTGGCTTTCTTTGTAACTTGTCAGAATAGATCCGTTAGATTTGCAAATTTTGCATTAATAGACGTGAAGCTGATTTCACATTGTTTTACTAAAGAAAGAATTTGGAAATAATTAAAAAGATAAAGGAAAATAATTCACATTAAGATACATCCAAACAGTGAAATGTTTGTTTTATTTGCGGATTATTTACGGATTCACGACACAAAATTGAAGCAAAATTGAACAAACAAGTTATTCCGCTTTATGAAGAATAGTTCGGTCGTTTCTATATACAAGGTATGTGGTATATGCTTTCATCAGTCCCATTGGCTTACGCTACTGATATCAAAAAATCTAGTATTACTAAAATATTAAATGTCATAGATTACAAAATTCACAAGTGGCTAATTGCAGCAGATTCCAAAGTACTAACAATTTTTAACATAAAATGTCCATGCTATTTTTGTAAATGGGACAGTCGAGCAACTAGCCTGCACTACGTTCAAAATATTGGGTTCCACGTACGTCACTTGTAGTTGGTGAAAAGATTATAATAAATATTCCTCTAGTTAATCCAACGTACATTATTTTACCACCGCTGCATATTAAACTAGGTTTAAGAAGCAATTCTTGAAAACAATTGACAGAAGTGGTCCAACGTTCAAATATCTTGAAAAATTTTTTCCACAAATAACTTACGCCAAATTGAAAGAAGGTACAAGGGTATTTTTACCTCATTTAAAACGAAATCAAATTATATTTATAAACGACTTCCAAAAAATGAGGAGGTTATCAGTTCGACGGAATATTTTTTTTTATGTATGTTACCGAATAACTTTGGACCACGTCTTCGATAATTCTTTTTGTATCGGAAAGGTAGTGTCTCAGAGGTGATCCCATACTAATCTGGTTTA